AATAGGACGCCATCGAGTAAAGGATACAGGTGCGTCTCTTGCCGAAATCGGATATCTTTGCCAGACAAACGTCCAGGAATCTCATAAATAAGTCTATTTTCTCAATCCTTATTCAAGAGGTTCCACTTATGTAACACACTCTGGGTGAAGTCATTTCCTCTACTACACGCTTGTGTGCCGCATACATCTTTCTAGTGCTAATGTTTAACGGAAGTGTGAAGGTAATCTGTAAGGCTAATGAACGAATGCATTCCTTCCCCTTGCTCAAATCCCATTCCTTATCCGCGCTTTATAAAACAAAAGCGCCACCACTGAGAATGAGAATGTTAAGGCAGAATCTCACACAGAGAGTGAGTGAGAGAGGAGAGTAAGGTATAAGCAGAATAGAGACTCCTCCAGAGCGATGGCCACAAGCAAGGGCCCGTGTCCCCGTGCATTATTGACTTAACATTCAACAGTCCTGGGGATGAGGTGGGGGGATGGCCCGCTGTGCTAATGTTTTCTTAAGATCTTCTAAGATACTGCAGTTGGTGTTCTATATATTACGCATGACCTAATGACCTCGGGGTCAAACTTGTTCTACAGCCATGATGACCTTGTCACAATGTGCCAGTTTTTCTACGATCCTGTCACTGTCGTGGTGACTCTGCCGTGACCACAATATCCAAGTACTGCACATGTATTGGCTAAGAACGCTAGTATGACCTCACAGCCCAACTATTGGCTCCGAACTTCAATGTGACCACCTAATAGCAACTGACTAAAGTTGCGGTGACTTCACAACAAAACTATCGACTCAAGACTACAACTCAAATGTTCTCATAAAACTAAGGGCGCATGGCGATAACTCGACCTCTCAGAGGAACGATTGAGTCAAGCGGCTTATGTGTTTCTCTTCATCTCCCTCTTCGTTATACTACCTGAGTCTGAGTCCCCGGAGCCCTTCGGCAATCCTCCCCTTCTCCCCCCTCAAGTCCCTCCGCTTCTCCGCCCACTCCTCTCCCCGGATCCTACTCCAGCCACTACTTCGATGACAACCAGGACTAACTCGCTTGGCCAGCCGTGGGTGGCGAAGCGGGGTGCACGGGGGGGAGGGGCCCGTAGAGGATGGAGGGAGGGAGGCAGGACGAAAGAAGCAGGAGAAGAAGGAAGGCGGTGGGAGGGAGGAAGACGAAAGCAGGAGAAAGGAGGAATGGATGGGAGGGAGGACGACGAAAGAAACAGGAGGAGAATGAACGAATGGGGTGGGAGGGAGGGAAGACTTGAGACGTTCACTCACACTCCCCAGCAGTCACGTCACTGTCAACTAGCAATATAAGTGACACAACACCAGGCCACCCGTGGGCATGGCAAAGGGTGACGCGTCTTGACAGGGAAGAGGACGCGTTGCAGTGGCGTGGACAGGATACAGGGAGGGGACAAGGGAAAAACGAAGACTTTGCTAAAAACATGAACAATTATTTACGAGTAAATCGTAAACAGCATCATATAATTCGACATACACTAATCTTAAAGCTCCGGTAAAATATAATATATACACAAAGATTTCTAGTGTAAACGTCGTCTCTGCATCTTTCTCTGAGTAAATCTGACGCAAGACGACACGCAAAAAATGCCCACATAAACGCATACATGTACACACATTCCCTCATAGGGCCACTTAACTTACAATTGATGTCATTAACCACAAAGGCTTCTGTGTAACCATCCAACACCTGACCGCCTCACCCGCTGATGTAACAGCCATAATGACCCTTACAGGCGGTGTAACTTAGTGTCGTAATCGCATGTCTTGTGACAATATTTGGGCAACTCGAAGGGCGGAGTTTCTAACCTTTCAAATGGTTCCAGCGAGTTCATCGACTCACGTCAAATCCCATCTCAGAAAAATGCATGATTCACAAGATCTCTCCCGACCCATACGTCTCGCAGCTCCTAGTCTTTTCATGCAAACGACGCGAATAGCAACTGCACAAACGTCTGTGTATTTCTGCACGCTTACTTAAAATGAGAAACAAGGCTTTATAACAGCGCCTGGGTCTCGGGCTCTGTCCGCGGGCTTTGCTCCGTACCTGGCGATGAGGACATGGCGCTGCTGGCCGTAAGATCGCTCCCGCAGAACACATTACTAGATATAGTAATGACCTCACTCGCCATCCCCAAGAGGCTCTGAAACCCTAGCTCACCCGTGTCCCTCGCCCTCGCGCTCGCCAGCTGACTAACCCCGTGGTAAAACCCTGCGGTGAGGCAGTGTGGTAAGGTGCCGTGGCACCCTGGGGAGTCAGAATACCCGAAACACGACGCAAAAACAGGCGTGAGCTTTAAACTGAAAGCACGTGGCGACGAACGTATGCACGAAATGAGGGAACCAGTTTCATAACAAATGAAGTTTGACGCACTTTTGGATAAATTATTTGTATCAAGATGGAGACACATCCGAGGAAGTGCTTCCTAAAGGAGAGCGATTTCATAGTTCACCCACTCAGGCAACAACCAGATATATAGCTGCTCTGTAGATCTGTAGTTTGTCTAATGGCGCGACTGTTACGTAAACTGAGAACATACAAACAAATGTGATTTTCTTCGGAACTCATTTGCGTTGGGGATATTCTGGCGCAGACACATCTGTGAAACAATAGATCGAAAATCCTCGAGCGGAGCATGACGATTCAAATTCAGATCTCGAAGCACCACGCCCACCGCAGACTCCGCGGCGCCGAAGGGTCGGATCATGGATCGCCACATGACAAGGCGACGCTTACAGCTTTCGCCGTCATCGCCCGTGCCCCTGTGGCCTCCTACGCCGTGAATATTCCTGCGTGGGCGCCTGGAATACGTTTCCGCTGGGTTTCGGAGCAGTTCCCGTGAGCCGTTCGGCCGCGCGAACCGCTCACAGGAATCGGAGGCGTTTCGTCACGGCCGTTTCCGGAGGACGGTGCGTGATTGCGGCGGCACATTCCGCCTCGTTCTGATTCCCAGAAATTGTAATGAGGGAGATACGCTTTGCACGAAACGAGTTGCGTCACTGCTGTGATATCTCTCGGGATGTGCTCTTTGCGCGCCTCCGTATACGAAGACACGGAAACAACAGAATTGACGTTCCTCCAAAAACAATACGAAGGTTACAGTTAGTTTGGCTGTGACTAAATTTTGTCTACTTTGATGTGTACAACGCTACATCTGCCTGCGCATAACTCAACGCACGAACGTGTGCGCGCATCTTAAAACCATTAAATATATCTGCGTGTGCAAGGCTGTCCTTAGTTCATTACGGTATAAAGCAGCATACAGGTGCCACGTCACACTAATCCAGAATAAAGAATGAGGAATATTTCTCTACTTTCATGTGGACATGGTGTTAACTCTCACATAATTAAAATCTCAAGATTACGAGGTATATGTCTTGCCTGTTTCTGCTGCGTCAGCAGGCACAGGGAGACGAGAACGCCCAAACAAGCACCAAGGATCGGTAGCCAGTGCCAAGAGCCGTGGAATCAGCGAAGGCAGAGCAAGGGCCCGGCCCTCGTCCTGTGGCTATCCGGCCCTGACCTCACCAAGCATGCAGGTAAGTTAAGCGACCCTTGGCAGCCGGCAACACACGCAGGCGACACCATGGTAACACGCTCCTGAACGCCGGATGCGGCATCGAGCTGCGGGTACTCCCGAAGAAACAGGAATGGAGCGGTCAAAGCGAGGCAAAGGAGTGGGGGAGAGAAGAAAGAAGAGATAACCAGATATAGAGTCTAGAGAGCGAAAAACTGCTTCGCCAACACCAATGAGGCAAAATTACCATCAAGCAATATTGGTCACGTGACAGAATATGATACACATGCCATGTAAGCTGACACGAGACAGAAAACCGACGCAGATGATGCACGGCACGAGCGAAGATTAAGCTGACACGTGCGCCGAAAGACACGGCTCCACAATCCCTGCCATTAATCCAAATTTATAAATACAGTACAACAGAAACCACAGAAATTTCCTTCAAAACAATTGTTTGTAGAAACCTAAACCCAGAAGATATATTTTTTTTTCTCTCTCTCTCTCTTTCTCTCTCTCCCTCTCTCTCTCTCACTCTCTCTCTCTCCTCCCCCTCTCTCTCTCTCTCTCCTCCCCCCTCTCCTCCCCCCTCTCTATCTTTTCTCCCCCCCCTCTATCTTTTCTCCCCCCCTCTCTATCTTTTCTCCCCCCCTCTCTATCTTTTCTCCCCCCCTCTATCTTTTCTCCCCCCCTCTCTATCTTTTCTCCCCCCCTCTCTATCTTTTCTCCCCCCCTCTCTATCTTTTCTCCCCCCCTCTCTATCTTTTCTCCCCCCTCTCTATCTTTTCTCCCCCCTCTCTCTCTTTCACCCCTCTTCTCTCTCTCTCTCTCTCTCTCTCTCTCTCTCTCTCTCTCTCTCTCTCTCTCTCTCTCTCTCTCTCTCTCTCTCTTCTCCCCTCCGCTCTCTCTCTCGTCTCCCCCCTCTCTCTTCCTTCTTCCCCCCTCCCCCCTCTCTCTTCCTTCTCCTTCGCCCTTCTCTCTCTCTCTCTCTCTCTCTCTCTCTCTCTCTTCTCCCCTCCGCTCTCTCTCGTCTCCCCCCTCTCTCTTCCTTCTTCCCCCCTCCCCCCCCCCCTCTCTCTCTCTCTCTCTCTCTCTCTCTCTCTCTCTCTCTCTCTCTCTCTCTCTCTCTCTCTTCTTCCCCCCTCTCCTTCTCTCTCTCCTTCCCCCCTCTCCCTTCTTCCCCCCCTCTCTCTTCTTTCCCCTCTTTCTCTCCTCTTTCCTAGCTCTCTCTCCTCTCCCCTATCTCTTTCTCCTTCTCCCCTATCTCTCTCCTTCTCCCCTACCTCTCTTTCTCCTCCTCCCCTCCTCTCTCTCTCCTTTCCCCTCTCCCCCACCCTCCCTCTCCCCTTGTCAATGCCACTGCCTTCCGAATTGCTCGACATGAAAGAGAAAGCGAAGAGAAAGGGAAGTCTTTTGCTCTTAGGCCAAACAAATAAACAAACACATCCATGTCTTACTGGGTTGCTGGCGACGCTGGCGGCGCGAGCGGAGCGACGGCAGGAGTCCGGCAGATGTCCCTCCCTCCCCCGTCGACGACGAGGCGGAGGAGGACGCCGACGGGGAGGCTGCGAGGGGCCGCTTCCGCAGGCGCCGCTGCCGCACCTTCCTCCTCTCCGTGGAACACCTGGTGGACATGGCGGCGAGGAACCGACTCCGCTTGGCCTGGCGACTTGCCTTCCTGTCCTCTCCTGCGGCGCTCTCCCTGCTCGCGGTTGACTACATCAGGTCCGGCGTGCGCTTCTCACGTGCGCCGTCTCTCTCACTTAAGCTTAGGAAACTCTTACTATCAGCTCGAAGTGGGCAGCGCTGACCACTGAAGCTGCACTAGGTCCCCGAAGGCCGAGCACTCGTCTGCCTGCAGTTTCCGATCACGCCCACTTCAAACTATAAATGTTTTTGAATCATAATTCGATCACAATTTCAGTTCCACCTGGAAATAGTTTATAAATCAACACTTGTTGTATCACAGGCTTTCAGACACCAACGCACTGCCTTGTGAGGCCTCTAATCGAGGACGAAGCTGGCCACCAATCACCGCCCGTAGCACCTGAGGCACATGAACAAGACTTGGCGCCTTCAAGATATGAGCGCACGGCTTCCTCGCCTCACGCACGAACGCCGTGCAGAGGGAACGCAACAAGCAAGGTGACGAGGAAGTGACCGAGCTGCCCTGCAACATCAGCAAACGTGACGTCACGAGGAGGTAGTGAGCGAACGAGCGCAAAGCTGTGACCTCACGCTGAGGTAGTTGTCTCTTATATAGTGGCGCGGGGGTGGTGGTGCCTGGGTGCCTCCTCGCTGCCAGCCTTCGCCGCCGTGCTGGGGCTGGAGGCTGAGACGTGGCACCGCCGCGAAAACACGTTCCAGGAGAAACAGACTTGATTCGAGGGGCGGGGAGGAAAGGGTCACCCAATACCCTGATGAGAAGGCCCAGCGGCGGTGGCGGGGCAGGTTTGGCCCGGTTCTGTAATTCTGCACTTGTTGGTAACTCCATCACGATTACTCATCCAAACTTGAAACAAGAGCCACTGGCAAACAAACAGGCGCGTGTACACACACACACACACACACACACACACACACACACACACACACACACACACACACACACACACACACACACACACACACACACATGTACATATATATATATGAAAAGAGAGAGAGAGAGAGAGAGAGAGAGAGAGAGAGAGAGAGAGAGAGAGAGAGAGAGAGAGAGAGAGAGAGAGAGAGAGAGAGAGAGAGATTGTGACACAAGGACGAGCAACGGCCACACCCGCGGTACTTCCGGCCCAGGGGCTTTCACCCCCCCTCCCCGCAAGACAGCCGCTCGCATCGGGCGGCACTCTCAGAGGAACACTGGCTCTGGTCCCGGTAGACAACGCGAGTCACGAGGGCCAGTGATTCTGTATGTGGACTTTGGAGAGGAGATCTGACACTTACAAAAGGCAACAGGCTGTAACAAAAAAGTGACAAGGAGCACTCGAGCGCGTCGTCTTGACGAGGCACTTCAATGTAACAATTCTACGAGTCACTTGGATGTGACACCCGTGCACCACACATTCGCAAGACACAGAAAATACATACAGACATGCATACACACGAACGTACACGCACAAACATATATAAATAATAGCCACATACATGTTTACCTGCACGCTAACACTCGCATACGTGTACATTTACATGCCTACACACGCGAACTATTTTTCATTTTCCATTTCCCTTTCTCTTTATGAGAGACGGGATTTTACATTCAGCAGTATGAGGAAAAACGGTGGGATAAAGCGGGGAAGAGAGAGAGAGAGAGAGAGAGAGAGAGAGAGAGAGAGAGAGAGAGAGAGAGAGAGAGAGAGAGAGAGAGAGAGAGAGAGAGAGAGAGAGAGGGGGGGGGGGGGGCGGGAGGGAGGGAGAGAGAGAGGCTGCTTCATTCCCTGATATTCCCACGAATCCCCCGAAGGCATCCGACTCGGCGTTGCCACGAGGCCCTCCAGAGCTTCTCTCTCGAACGTCGACGCCGGGACGCAGGGTCGCGGAACCCCAGCCATCCCCATCGCAGCGACGGGGCGACCTTATGGGAACAATCCGCCGTGGAAAAAGGTCATGGGAACTGATCAAAACGACCCTTGTCTCGCTCCTCTTCTCCCCCAAGGCTCCCCCAGAACTCTGCCTTGAAGCCTCACTCCCCCTTGGCGCTTGCGGCTACGCTCCCACCACTGTCCAGTTTTTCAATAATTGATATCTACGCTTATGAAATCATTTTGAAATTATATTCGGGCTGTATCTCTGTCTGTCTGTCTGTCTCCCTCACTCGGACACACAAATACACACTCTTTCACACACACACACACACACACACACACACACACACACACACACACACACACACACACACACACACACACACACACACACACACACACACACACACATACACACTCACACTCACACACACACACACACGCACGACACAGGGTCGTTCGAAGTGACGCAGCGCCCGATATATTTAAAAGGCCGCAGCAGTGACGCAAGAGCCGAGCCGCGTGCTCGCGTCGCCCCCACCGGGCAGAGGGCAGCTGCAACCGCTCGGCCTTCGAGGACCAGCGCTTGCGCCAGATGCTCAGACGCTAAAAGTGCGGCCACACTGCAAGCGATTTGCTGGGAGGGTTGAGGGGTGTCTAGTGGGTAGAGGCAAGCGATGTCGTGTCCATATCGGAAGAGGGAAAATCGCCATACTACTCAGTGGATCATCAGCCACATGCTCAATATCTATATAAAGGTAATCTATTATATCCAACAAAAAAGTAAATAATGCCCTAAGCATGATATAACGATCGGTGAGTCAACACAACTTATAACTTATTTGTTATATTTAAGTGATCAGTTATATCAGTTCAGCACTTTTTGACGATCCAAACATTTCTTTAGTA